TATATTAAACAGGCTTTTTGACCCTTTTGCCCCTCATTAATTAATTAATAACCAATTTGCCCCTGATCAAGAACTATCCACCAACATGCCCCCTTTTAGTCGACTACCTTGCTGTTTTAGTCGAGCAAATGGTCAATCTTCAGAAAGTGGACTTCCGCAAATTTAGTCGACTAAAAAATCATCTTAATCGACTACATTTTTGGGATATTTAGTCGACTAAGTATCGATATTTAGTCGACTAAATGTCGACTGAAACCCTATATTTTCCATGTTTTCGGTCTCATTTCGATTGTTGTTGTTGTGTAAACCTAAATAGCTCCCTTTGTTCATGTGTAATCCTCTCAATCCGATTGTATTTCATCCCACCATCTCTACAGACCTAATATTGTGAAATCATTGTCATTGCCCAATTCCAAACCCCAAAATCCGAACCCAAACCCCCAATTTCAGAACCCAAGTCCCAATTTCGTGAGGAAGATGAGCACAAGTCCAAACATGTATGTGACAATGATCTACTATGATGGAAAGCATTATGAAGGCCCCAACGGTGTTCAATTTGAAGGAAAAACGAAAATGTTGAAAATCAAACGGGGCACTACATACAATGAGTTAAAGGAGAGAATTCAGCAAAAATTGGGTTTGCAAGGCAGCCAATGCGTTCAACGGATGATTGCCAGGGTAGAGACAACAGTTGGTAAGGATGCTATTTACTACATTGGTAACGATATATGTGATGATGAAGATGTCGAATGTGTCATAGATGCAATTGTTGACCGAAAATTTCAAAATTTTATTGAGATATATGTTGAATTAGATTGTGGTCAATCTTCATCTGCACCCATGCAAGTGTAGTGCAAGTGTTCCCCACGGACTCTTCTCTGCTCCTGCACGGCATCCTCTCGTACATATCCTGGAAGTACTACACCACTATCAGCGTCATACACCACAGTCTGAGAAGAGTCAAAATCATAGCCGAGTATCTCCAACCATGCAGGTGCCGTCATGATGATCTCTATTCCACAGACCCTCGACCTCAGCTCGCCCTGTACGTAGCTGAGGTTATGGTAGAAGGCCCGCACCATAAGCTCTGAATACGGACATAGGGTCTCGGCCAACACCCTCAGATGTGCCGCCTCCAACACCCCCACAATTTCAAATCCCTCCTTATCAAAAAAAGGCTGTATCCAAAGATTTTGGAGCACATAACGGCCGGTTCAAATGGTCACGTACGAATGAAGCGTGGACGGCAGGGTCGTCCTCAAACAGATACCCATACGGGAGGTCAACAGTATCAGGCTCTTCGTCTTGTCGCCTTGACGAAGAAGGCCGCTCTTGCCTATGCTTGGTGCGTCTCTCAAGTGACTCATTGCCCTCATCGCTTGGTCTTCTGCGGCTCGTCATTTGTTTAGGGTACCTACAATGAAACATGTCAGCATTTAACTATATGAAACATGTCATGATGGTAATGAAAACTTGCAACATAAGCGTTGTAAACCAAAAGCAAACTTTTGCCCCATACAAACTTTTCAAACAAAAAAATTCACACAATGCAAAAAAATAAACCTTAGTAGATTAGGGTTACAAAACCTACAACAAACGCTTTGATTAGAGTTCACAAATTTGGACAACAAACAAATACAAAAAATTCCTAAACCTAAAACACAATGCAAGTTAAGAAACCTTACCTATCCTTCAGATTTCACGATTTGGACCAAATTTGGGGGCAATCCACACGCCTAAAGGAAGGGTTTGGGGCGTTCTTCAGCTGCTCCTGCGGATTTGGGGTTTGGGCCGCCTCCTTAGTCGATTAGGTCATCCTACTCCCCCTCTGCCGAATGGGGGGTTTTTAAAAAACAAATCCGTCGATATTTAGTCGACTAAATATCGATACTTAGTCGACTAAATATCCCAAAAATGTAGTCGATTAAGATGATTTTTTAGTCGACTAAATTTGCGGAAGTCCACTTTCTGAAGATTGGCCATTTGCTCGACTAAAACAGCAAGGTAGTCGACTAAAAGGGGGCAGGTTGGTGGATAGTTCTTGATCAGGGGCAAATTGGTTATTAATTAATTAATGAGGGACAAAAGGGTCAAAAAGCCTATTAAACAAACAAAAAATACCAATATTGTTAATATTATAATTTTTTTATGCAGTTATATTAAGGTTTAAATCAATAGCTCACTCCTAATACTTTGTGAACATTATACTTTGTTGAAATTATTTATTAAATAAAAAAAATCAACATCGTTTTTACCCCAAAATTTAAAGTTATTTTTTTCATTTTAATATTAAGAAAATAATTATTTATCAAAATAATTATTTATCATAGCTTATAGGAACTCATTTTTGCTTAGATATATGGATAAACTTTGTTATAAAAAAAATTCTTTATTTTTTATATGAAGAGATATTAAGATAAAAAATTTAAATATCACAAAAACTAACTCAATGGATCAACCCATCCCACACCAGGGCAAGTTGCAAGCAAATTCAGGGATTGAAAATCATAACCCAACTGCCATTTGTGAATTGAGTTAAATGAATTTATTCAAGTGAGCATATGTTATGCTCCGTGATTATCATTTTTTAGGTGGTCTTTTAGTGTAAATGAAAGGATAAAATTAAAAAAAAATAGGAATAAAAAGAAAAAAAAATTAATATTGTAAAAAAGAGCACCAAATTATTAGCTACTATTGAAAATATTTCCCTAATTCAATGGGTTGGATCTATCTTACCATGTGATGTGGGATTGTCTGTTGTCTATCCAGCTAGGCTATAACTAACCCAGATTTTACCAACTTTACACGTTAACCCCTACTTTAAAATGAGACCCAAAACTCTTTTCGAATTCTTAGAATTGTATGGAATTCTCTTTACACAAAATGGATCGTGATATTTTGCCGTCAAATAAGACAATTGTATTTCACCTCGGATATGAGCTATACTTTTTAATATTCTTCTATTGCCCTATTTTGTTGTCTACTTTTCTGTTATTTCAATTAAAAAATAATGACAACTCAACCCAAAATAAATAAATAATTAAGATAAAAATTATTACATTTTAAAGGGGGGTTTTTTTGTCTTAATTTTCATTATTCGATTGAAGAAACGAAAAAAAAAACAATAAATTTGAATCCATCTTCTTATCCAAATAAAAATAAAAAAAGAAACATTGTTACATTTTCATATTTATGTAATTTCATTTTTTTCTTATTTTGTTTACATAGGAATATGAGTGTGGTAATCAAATAATATATTTTTTAATAATTATTTTGGATATAAATTTTAAAAACTAATTTTGAGAATAGAAAAACAATAAAAATTATTTAAATAGAGTTAGATTTAAATTTATAAAAAATTCCATTTATTTACAAATACCAATAATGAATTTTTATAATTACAAGATTATTTAAATTAAAAAAAACAATTTTATTTATAAAAATACCATTAATAAATTCTGATAGTTACAAAATTACCACCACAATAAAACAATTTCAAAACTAAAAAATAGTGATTGTTTTAAGAATAATTTTTACAAAACAATCTTTTCTAAACAAGTTTTTTGTTTTAAAAATAAAATAAAAAACTATTTTAGGAATAGAATTGAAAGAGTTCCATAATCTTGGACGTATCTTTTGTGGTACAAGATAATTAATGCTACAACTTCTTCAGCTGTCAATGCTCCATCTTTAAATCTTCACACTTGAGGCTTAATCGCAATTTCACCTCCACATTTAAATTTCTCTATAACTTGTAATAATTTTCTGTCTAGGTCATACATTACGGAACTACATCAGACAAGGTTAGATTGAGAAAAATGACATCTTAAACTTATAACATACGAATACGAGTGAGACACTTGTTGTTGTCAAACAAGATATATAATCATGGACGTTTCTTTTGTGGTATGAGACAATGCTACAACATCTATGGACCATCTTTAAATCTTCATCCAACATCTATGCTTATTACACAATTGGTCCGGAAAAAAAAAAAAAAAAAAACTTAATCACAAAAATAATTAGATGTGATTGACTTAATTATTAGAATAATTAAGTGGGTTTGGTATCTGTGTATTTTGTATCTGATTCAGATACGGAATACAATGATTACGTGTCAAATGCAATTGAATGGTTCTGAAAGTATTTGGTGGAGTCACCACATCCAATTGTCTCAGCAATATGTATCTCTTATTGGGTCATTTCGATCTTGCTTAGAGCTCATCTTTGCCATACTTCATGCTTCAGAAGACTTTTTGTGTGGCAGTAACTAACAGGACAATAGATATATTACTTGTTTAGAGCATAGTCATTTCTTTTTTTGAAAGCTGAGCATAGTCATTTCTAAACGCAAACATTGGTGCTTCTTTTATGGACAAAGCAGATTCAAGGTGGAGCCCAAAAGCTTTTGGCTTGTTTTGTCACCATTAAAGAAGACACGTCCATTGAGTGGACCAGTAGACTCCCTAACATTACAGATTGTTTTGGCTTGTTTTAGGAGAAATTGATTCTGCTTGAGCTCTGTATATTGAATCCATGTAAGAGGAAGTTTTATCAAAATCATTTTCTTCTTTCTCATGCGTTGAATCCATGCTTAGAATGTTTTAATGATGACACATAATTAAAATCTTGATTATTTGATAATTAAAAGGAACATCCATGTATCATATCGGAAGCGTTAAAACAAAAAGGGTAAAAACAGAGACAATTGAACGGAATAAAGGATAGAAGATAAAAGATTTAGATATAATATACTTCAAGAATCCAAGATAAGCTTGAAGTCAATAGCTGACCGTGTTTATTAAAGAAATTTTTAACATTATAAGGTCAAATTTAGCATCTAAAGAATTTATAATCATGAAGAACCCAAGTGGCGAGTTTGATATCAAAGAAAGCTAAGTGATACCTGCCATAAAGTGATGAAGGAAAGTTTTCCCTAATTGAAGTACATCATTCAAGCTTACATTGAGAAAGTGTTCAATATGTTCAACAAGCTTGCGCTTTCCGGTAATGCTACATAATGTTCAATATCCACTATGGGAACACCATTGCAGCTTATGGTTTAGACAAATCTAGCTCCTGAATGAGATGCGATTAATGCACAAATCTCTAATTGTACTAAGATTAAATAAGACTAGTTCAGCTTGAGCTTGTATCAAGTTTCTGAGAAAGATGGAGAAACAAAGGACTTGAGCACTTGTACAAAAGATATAAGCTTCTAATACAAGAAAATGAATGAATAAACAAAAATATTGGGGAAAAGAAATTACCACTATTGATTACACACAAACTATGCTAGGAACGCATCCCACAATCGAATTTTGTATACAAGCATCTCAGCATCACCAGCACGGTGATATAAAAATAAGGGTATAAGCGCTGTGAACAGAGATTATAAAAGTTGGTCAGACTTTGTAATGAAGTGATTTGCAGCACTCTCATTTCCTCCGGAGTAACAAGCAGCCCGAAAGAAAGCCGTGGGGCTGTACAGAGTTTTCCATTTGCTAAGCTTTCATGGAATTCTACATGATTCGATGACCTCGCTGACAGCTCTATGAGTCTCCGGTGAAATCATGTTCAAAGACATATGAAATTCCTGAAGACAGAGACATGATTATGAATTTAAAATGCTATCAATGGTGTCAATAATTTTCTTTAAAAAAAAGAAAAAAAAAATAAAAGAGAAGGGTGAGCATCCAATATGATTAAGCAGGCCATATCCATTTTTCACACTTTAGATGGTGATTTTAAATCCCATTATCTACCGGGAACCCAAAATATACCTAAACTCTGCCTTCTAAACATATATCTATGTTGGGGAGTTCAAACCAAGAAATGTAATGAATTTTTCAAGTCAAAAGTGTTCTGGCAAGTGCAACTCCGTGTTAGCATTTAAACTTCTGCAAGATTTGCTTTGGAGCAGCCTCAAACTACACCATAGAAGACTATATGGTTATTTACACTCAAAGACAAACTAAATATGCTAGTTACTGCAGACAGATTAAGCATCAGAAACTAAACCCAATATCCAATTACCCATCCCAAACAAATTTAGTGAATAAGAAACAATATGTCTAGCTAGTTTCACAATCTAATCCCCATGGTATTTAACAATATCAACAGCTACATACCACAAATCTGTCCAACACAGGTACAAGACTAGCTAAGTTGTGATCTGGAAGATTGTCAGCAATTGCTGCACGGATGCTCTTGCTGTAGACCAAAAAGGTAAATTATGGGCGATAATGTATGCAACAAAACTAAACTAAACAAGAAGAATTAAAATTTCTTAAAAAATTTACCTTTCGGTGGAAAGAAATGCCAGAAGCAGCGCAGAATAAGCTTCCACAATCATTTTCTCAGCTTCTTTTTCACCTTGTAGAACAGCTGCCTCATCATTCTGCATAACAAAAGATTATTCAAGATACATCAGTCAGTAGTCACAATCAAATTTCCTATATTATGTTCTCTCCTACATTACAAGTCTTGAGTCACACCAACTTTTATTCAATTGTTTCAACTATTGATAATACTTAAACAAGTACAATGGTTACACATCAAATGAGGCCTACAACGGTTCAATATCTTGGAAGATTGAAGCCAATCCCCAGTTGTTCTCCGATCAATTGCACTATCCATACCAGAGTGCAATTGAATCAAACAAGATTCCAACTTCCATTTTTTCTTACCCTTGTTCATTTGAATTAACTACTACTTGTATCTTTTGTAAGTATTTCAGTGAAATAAACAAAAGCAGCTTTTCATCAGCTGATGATGATGAACCATTGAATGATACAGTGAAGAAGTTGGCAAGATCAATTAAAGATTTTACACACAGAGGATATATGGAAAGGATCCTCTCATGACATGTCCTCATGTGAGACTTTCTCAGTTGTCCATAGACAAATCAACAGTGACGAGAGAGAGAGAGTGTGTGTGTTAGGATAGAGAGTGGCCATGGATTTGTCTATGGATGACTAAGATCGTCTCACACAAAATAGTCTAAAAACATAATACGAAGTGTCAGACAAGAATTCCAAGGAAAAACTGGAATCTACCCACCAGTTGTAATTGTTTATCTTCCCCAGCTGCTTCACTTTCACCCTGGTTGGCCAAGAAAATAGAGCATAATAATTGAATAACATCCCTCCGAACCTCCTTGTCCAAGCCTTCTGAAAAAGGTAGTAAAACACTGGCTGCTGCAAGCCGTGATCTGCCAAAAACCAGAAACAAAGTTTGAAGGGGTAACAACAAAAATACAATAACAATAAAATACACATCATATTATAATGCCAAAACTTTCTTTGGTGTTCGGTTTCTCCTTAGCATCTTTTCAATTGTATATCATGCCAAAAAAATACCAAGTTACAGTTAGTGTGAAGTCATTCTATTCTGTCTTTTTTCAGTAAAAAAAAATCAAATAAATCAAAGGGATTAAGCAGTGGGTAAGTTTTAAATCTTCTAATTACTAAAAAAGTGATAGGCTTGGCAATACAATAGTTGTACACTATGGTGAAACCCCTCTTGAAGGGACAAAGAGGAAGGTACAATCTTTATGCTACATTAGAATTTTGAAAACAAGAATAAAAGTATAGTTCACAAACATGCCATCCAGATACAGTCTAATAGAGACTTAATTAGCAAATTTCCTAAGATTAAAAGTTCAAGCAATTGCAATAACAGTATGAAAATCATGAATTTCAAAGAGAAATTCTGTCCGTGTGTCTTAAATATACAATGGAGAGGAGTTTGTTTATATAACCAAAGTGGTAAAGAGGTACAATGTATTTAGACAAGTAAGAACCTAGACACGGTCTTCAATAATAGGAGGAAAAAGACTGTCCAAATATACAACTTACAAGAGGAGGAGGAAGACTTGAGGGAAAAAACATAAATCTCTTGTTCATGTATCGTAACAAACTACCAATCCAGAAATTGTTCAAATTACCTGTTTCGGCCATCCTTCTCAACTAGGTTTACAAGCAGGCCCAGAATAGCAACAAGAAAATCCAACTCATTATCAGTTAGATGCCTATCATTTTGATGGTCTTTTGCAGTTCTTGAAGCATTTTCTTTTATCTGAGCAAAGGAGAAAGGGGAGCTGAAAGAAGGGAAATGACCAGCAATTAACATAGACATAGTCTCCAATCCTCCATGGGAGGCAATTTGCTGACAGCCAACAGGGTTGTCATTAGTCAAATTCATCAGCACCTACAATAAGACAACATTAATTAGTGCATAAATCTTAAGTGACTTCATCAGTGCTGCATGCTAAAGACCCTGACAGGAGCTCAAATGAAAAAAAAAAAACATATGAACAAAGGGATATGGACATATCCCAGTTCTGCAGATAGGCCTATCAGATTACATGTTAAGAGATAGGGTGTTACTTTTCTTCAGCAACAGTTAAAAAAATTTGTCTACAGCTGAGACAAATTTAAGTGGGGCCAACCTTTAAAATCAAAAAAATAAAAATAAATAAAAATACATATTGGTAGATGTGAGGGGAACAGGAGAAAGCAATCACCTGTGACATAAGACTATGATTACCCTAAGAGATATAATAAAATCATTCATGTGCCTTCACCCAAGGGCTATGCATTTGGGGAGTTGGTTGCTTGACAGTATATATAAACAAAACAAGAATTAAATCCAGCTAATATTTATCTGGATGTTGGCCAGCACATAGGCAACATTGATAAGGATGTTAAGGTGGATGTGTGGTTATACGAGGATGGATAAGATAAAAAATGAAGATATTTCACGAAAAGTAGGAGTACTACTGGTGGCTGAAAAGATGAGAGAACATAGATTGAGGTGGTTTGGGCACATAATAAGAAGACCCATGGATGCTCCCGCAAGAACAAAAGTTTGTTACCAAGAGCTCGGCACAAAGAAAGATAGAGGTAGACTGAAACTTACTTAGGGAAAGGTAGTAAAACAACATTTAATGGAGTGGGATATAGATCGGAGGACGTTGTGCCTTAGGACGAAATGGAGAAAAGCTATAAGCATGGTGGAAGATTAGACCCGTTGTTATTCCTATGATCCAGATGGTCCCTTTTTAGTCCTTTTCCTCTTCATCTCCCCCCTCTTCTTCTTTTCCCCGTCTTTTCCTTTATCTCTTTCCCCTTCCCCATCTTTCTTTCTTTTTTTCTCTTTTTCTTTTTTTTTCTCTTTTTCTTTTTTTTTCTCTTACTTAGTTTTTTTTTTACACCCCCTTTATATATATATATATATATATATATATATATATATATATATTATTAGTATTATTTTATTTATTTATTTTTATTTTTATTTTTTATCTTTTTTCAATCCCTTGATAAAGGTGTTGTTGATGCTGATGTTGATTAGTATAGTGTACAAATGTGACATAAACTTGAGGTTGCAACTACACGTGAAAAATAAATAATTACCAAATGATTTAATATGTAAGCAAGTTATCCACTTTCACTCAATTATCCAAATATTATGACAAGAATTAGAAATAAAAAATATAGAACAAACACTAAATCCAATAAAATACCTTCACAGCAGTAAGAAGGCAATCAGTTAGAAGGCTGGAACCTTCATCATCACCAACGTTAGAACTGGAACAATTGATATCCCTGTCATTTATTTCTTGCTTGCTTACATAGGTCTGAGATTGACATCCATCGTCAAATACTTTCTTTGCTATCTCATGCCTTTTAGAATTAGATCTTTTTTGTTTCCCTGATAGTAGGTCCCACTTAGAGGGTGCATAGTCATCCTCATCAAATGCAAAGGGATCTTGGCTATCATCCAAGATTACAACTGGGGTACCTTCTGTAAAACGCACATTCTTCCTTGAACTATTTTGGATCATGGATGTGTTAGAGTATGAACTTTTTGATGCAGCACTACAAGACCCAGACGTGGAAGAACTAACCCTCATCTTTAGTGAATAAGTATCAGTAGCTGAAGTGCTCGGAGTTTCAGAATTGGATAGTGAACTTTCCAACTGAGTACATGTAAACAGTCTGCTGTTCTGAGAAATAGTAGAACTCTTAACAGAAGAGGCTCTCTCCACACCAGAGTACTTTCTACTGGAACTGATGGATAAAGTCTCATTTTCTGCAAATTCAAACAAAAGAGCATTCAGAAAATCTGAAGAGCTTATTTCTACATTAGTAAGCATATGCAAATTCCAATGAATTGTCAATTTGTCACCACCAATTTATCTTTTAGAACATGACAACAGCTTAGCATAATCCAAATGCTTGCGAAGAAATAACTTATCTTTATAGCAAAAAAGTGTAGAACAATGAAAGACAAGGCATGTTAGAGATATGTAAAGCCATTAAAGTAACCTCACCCAACAGCTTAAGCTTTTGGGTTGAATTGGTTCTTTACATGGTATCAGAGCCTCGGTGTCACGGGTTCAATCCTAACCGCCCCTATTTAATTAATAAATAATTAAGTATTGTGGAGTTTGTTAGCACAAGTGGGTGGGCCTGAGCATTATCCACCCTTCAAGCCCAGTGGGTTCTCATGTGAAGGGGTGTGTTAGAGATATGTAAAGCCATTAAGGTAACCTCACCCAACAGCTTAAGTTTTTGGGTTGAATTAATTCTTTACAAGGCACTACAATGATGGCCATTCTACAATTTACCAAACCTTGAATAAACCTAACCTTCTCAGAAATCTTCCGTAAGAAAACACTCAAACTACAAGAGAAGTACTCAAGAGTCTAAATAAAGCAATTTCTGAATCAAAGTCCACACATGACCATTGGCTCAAATCCATGGCTTGGCTTTAATATATAAGCATGGCTCAAATCCATGGTAGGGTGTACTATAAGCATAATAAGCAAACTGAAAAATCCATGATCCCAACCCTATTGTCATTGCTCACTTCTCTTTCAGATTAAAAGAAAAATATTTTTCTTCCCAATAGAGACAACAAAATCAAATCAAGGATTAAGATATGACATCTTTCAGGGTAAACCAATAAAGTAACCCCGGAGCTTAATTAATTGATAGAAACTGATTTTTACTGATAAAACAATGCAGAAAATAAAACATAAATCTAAAGTTCTGCAGATGCCGAGAATCTCTAGCCCAGACCCATTCCCTTTTCCTCCCAAATCATGACTACCATGCACTACTTATCCTTATTCCTTCCTTCGTATATTCTCATTTCTTCCCAGCCAAATTTCCACCTCCCACAAATTCTTGCCAGTTCAGTATTAGGTTATGCTCTAGACTTAACTACGTGAATATTCCCTTCACTTCCCATCCCCTTCCATGTAGGATATAAGTCAGTACTGAGGTATATAACTCTCCATATTTTTTTGCATAAAAAACAAAAAGACATAACAGTTATTATACCCACCAAAAAGAAGGGGAGGGGGGGAGAGAATTCAAGCAAAAGCTCCTATCTAGAAGAAAAAGGATAGTTAAAAAGTATAAAGGTTTCACAGTGATTTGAGAAATTTCTGCATAGACCTCTAGTATATGTAACAATAATCAGAAAAAACACAGTTTCACTACCAGATAATAACAATCTAGTACCTTTATAGTCTCTTAGAGGATCCAATTCAGCATCTTGACTGACCATAGAGAAAAGATCGTAAGGCTTGCTATCAATGGATACAGCAGAGGCCCTCCGACGTAAATATAGATCTAGAAGTTAGAAGTTTTTGGCATGGATGAGAGAGAGAAGAAAAGCTATGAACCATCAGAGATGTAAACTAATCAAAGCAAAATAACCACTGAAAACAAAATAATTAAATGAGGAAAAGGAAGCAGAAACAGGAAGTTAGTCCTCTGTATGATCATTACCTGAGAGGATCTTTATAACAGTTATTATCAGCTCCGTAAAAGAAAATGGGGTTGCCTGACGACTCAATTTTCCTTTCATTCCAAGCAAATGAGACTATAATGAGAAAAAAAATGTTAAGAATAAGATTGATAAATTAAAAAGTTCACCAACAAAACATACAATATGCATTATGCAATACAGATGGAAAGTCACACAAGCAAAAGTCAAGACAACAAAAATTATATCTATGAAGAAAAAACAAATTTCTAGGAAAACAGGCAAAAAGCACATGTCAACCTGATTGTCTGCACTTAGGAAAGTAGCATTTTCCATTATCTTCAGGCATTTGAGAAGCAAGGTTAAGCTCTTCAGACGTTTTTCATTTCTCAAATCTTTGGTGGACAGAGAACTATCCTCCATCCAATTCTGAAAGACAAATCCATGGATTTAAGATAGTCATTACTCATTACCATAATTTCTTATTTATGGAAGCAAATATAAAAGAAGAATTGACAAAATACAATATCTCATCTCAGAGTAAGAAATTTCAATCAGAAAATGCTCTCTCTGTTTTACATTGTCTCTTTCAATTCCTTTTTGCTAGAGCCATGTCTACTTCAAATATAGTAAAGCATGCATATTGAACTAACATATAAGATCACACTCACACCTCCAAATCTGAATGACAATTCATGGTGACTTCAAAGACAGCATCAAGTCCTCCATGCTCCCGTAGTTTTTCCTTAAAATTTCCACCAGTCTTCCGTACAGCACCAGAGGTTTCTAAACACAAGTAGTTCAACCATAACATCCAAAAGAAAAATATAAAAAAATACTCATAAAAGGTTACAATACAAAGGTTCCAATAAAAGAATATATAGAGTCTTCCAGACCACAAAAGAAAGCAAAGTCTACAGAAGTTAGTTCCTGATCAACTACAAGCATCATAAACAATGTATTGAAATTATAATTTGTGTGGAGAAAGATTAGCACAGAAAATCATAATTTACAGGCAAAAACAGAAAAATCTTGATTAGTTTGGAATGGAAATACACATAAAGAAGTTATTGAAATTATAACTTGTGTGTGGAGAAAGATCACAACAGAAAAACATAATATACAGGTAAAAACAGCAAAATCTTGATTAATTTGGAATGGAATACACATAAACAATACCACTGAAATACATCTCAGAATATATTAAACCCCCAGAATTTATATATAACAAACCAGATTCCATCAAATTAAGTACCATGGTACTGAGAATTTATTAACTTTATTAGTATTTGAATATCAAAATGGCACCTTCAGAAATTGAGGAGAAAAGAAGTATCAAGATTGATTTATAAACAGTAAACATCATTATACAAGAACAGATTTGCTTAACTATTAATATTTTGCCACAAAAAAAAAAAAACAGCATTTCAAAGAACCACATATATATGAGGGAAAAGAACATTTTCAGCCAATAATATAAAATGTGGAAAGAAATGTTCTTTACGATACCATCAAGAGAAATGGCAGATAAACAAGCCTTCTCCGTAGTCAGCAATGCTAACCATTTTGGGCATAACTCTGGCCTCTTAACCCCGTTGTCATTCTGACAGGTTGTTTTTAGTTCTTTGCAATTTACTAGAATTTCTTGAACTTTAGAAAAAATTGCAACAGAACTGGAGTCCACTCTTCCCGTTGTATTTTTTTGCATGTCATCATTCTGACGCAATGATAGAAGTTTAGAGCCAAATTTTGGTGCTTTGTCTGCAATAGCTGTGGATACAATTGGTCTTAACAACTTGATTAGAAATTGAACACAACCAGGTGATTCAAGAAGGTGATCATCCTGACCCTGAAACAAAAGCATATCCAGTAAAATATAGGCAAATAATGAATATGTAGATTGATAAATTACAGAGTCCAAACTAAGTGCCCAAATGGAAGTACATGCCACCTAATAATCACTATTGTCCACAAAAGATTGGAAGCGAAACCGCAGCATAAACTTATCAGAGATATTCAAGATAAATTTCTTCATATATAGCAGTAATCCTATATATTTTCAATCTATAAGGCGTTCCCATTATATTTGTTACCTAGTTACTTGGGACAAGTCTACAATCAATAACAAACAAAGCGGATGAAAATAAGCAGTGAAGAAATAATTGGAGGACAGTGAATGTTTAAGTATAGATTTCCTACTACCCTGAACAAAACACTTGAAGTTTGATAAACAAGGAACCAAAGTAGCAAACATGTAATCACCAAGAGTAAATGTATGACTGAACAAAATTTAGTGGGAATGAAACCCATTAAAGGACTATGTATATCGCAAGTGTAGCTTCCTCTTCTGACTGTAAACCAATACCAATAATTTTGTTATAGATGGGTACCAATCTCATAATGTTCAGAAATATTGGCAAGCACCAAAGACGTCTGATGACATGCACTCAAATTGGAAAATTTTCTAATAAATATGAACAGAATGAACAAAAAAATTTTAGAAAGGTTTTTAAGTTAAACTAAATTGAGAAAATTGTGGACTGTGTAATTTTGGAATGCACGAGCCCAGGAAATTAAGTTTGGCCGAGCTTTTAATTCTTAAGAAAGTGGCAATACATAGTATTGCATCCAGAGATAAGCTTCTTAGGCATCATGTCAAAGAAAATGTTTTCATTGCTTGATAGGAGCCACTAATGGATTTCTTCTTTTCTTCCAGTTCAGAAACAAATCCAATTGAAAGTATACACATGTCAAACCTTACATACAGAAATATTATGCATGATATTAAAGATTTGGTTTAAACCTAGGATCAAACAAGTACCAAGAGAGAAAATTAGCAAAAGAATGCTAACAAAACTAATTATTAACTAGAAGCATAGCAATATATTAAAAGAGAATGATGGCTTGCTACATCTAGCAGATTGTAAAAAAATTTACTAATGTAAAAGAAATTCCTCGGCTATTTAATAACCATGCTCATATTACCCATAGCTTCTTTCATTATTCACTGCAACTGCAATATTACAAACAATAGAAGACTTACATCACTGGTCAAAATGTAGAAAAGGGTAGCAGCTGCAAGATTGCTGGGAGAATCATCAAGACCGAGGCCCAAAATAGCATCAATTATTGTCTTTGCCATCCTAGAAAGTATAAAAATCTGGGATTTATCAGCTAAGAATCACCCATACTGTTATATTTCCTATGCGTGAGAGTGAGTTCAACCCATGCACTCACTTTAAAATTCCAAACTAAAGTAAAGATATATTGAAAATATTACCCTGTCCCTGCCTCACTCACGGACAATTACATAATACTCATGCAATTGATAAAAGCAATACTATGAAAAACTTAAATTCTGAATCCTTATATGGTAAAAATATACATATTCTATTTACAAAAAAAATATATATATATATATACATATTCTCATTGTATCAAATGGCAATGGCAAGATAAACCCACAAAGGGTGGCTCAAGTGTTAAGCAAACTTGAGCTCAGCCTGTGAGAAAGCCCTTGGGAGGAGGGGCAACCTCGATACCATGGGCAAAGATTAATCTCATACCCAAAAGGGTATGGGGATACCTCGTATGATTAAAAAATAAAGGCAACAAACAAAGCCCATTCAGTGAAGTGAGACAAACGCAATCCTTCAAAACTGTAAAATATCGAAGCTCCTCTTCAAATCAAGTTTCTATTTGGAAAGTGACCAAAGATATCTCATAGTTCAATCTACCTAAATGAGAACCATAATACCAGAATCGTAAGTGAAGCAAAATACTAACCCTTTTTGTTCTTCTTCACAACCAGCACTAATAAATATACCAGAAATTCAAAAGCTTGTAAAAAGAGAAATAGCAGCAAATTCAAAAACCAGAGACATCAAGTGAACCTAAAAAACACCCCACAACTTAACCCACCCAAAATTTAAAATTTTGAAACTAACCCCAACAAAACCAACACCAGAATTTCAGATTCAAAACCAACAAGCAACAGATTCCTTAGAGAAAATCACATACCCTTGAGTCCGCAGAAGCCTTCGCTGCTGCGTGGTGGCACATATGGACAAGAGTGACACCAAGCTAGCCCTTCTGATCCGCAAAGGCTGACCCTTGCGAAGCCCATCGAGTGCGAAATTGACCTCATCCACGTGCTCCATCATCTCACCAAACTCCTGCGCCTCCATCAGCGTCGACGTCGCCGGAATCGAGAGCACGTTCGCCGCCTTCTTCTCTGCCGCCCTCCTCGCCTTCTTGGACTCCCTCCCCCCGCCGCCGGGGTCGCCGCCGCACAAAGCGTCGATCGAATTGGGGTCGGAATCGAAGAGGGACCAATGCGAGGATGAGTCCTGCGACGAGAATGCGAAGCCGTAGAGGTTGTCCTGTTGGGAGCTTTCTTGGGACTGTGAAAGCGAGCTTCTCACGAAGGGTTCCGAGTCCGAGACGTCGTCGTTTAGCGAAGAGCCCGAGCACGTTCTTGAAATGGTTCTGTTGCGTCGACCGTAAGTGCGAACGATCATTTTTTATTTTCTTCGGTATCGGAATCGCAGATCGGCGGTGGTTGGTGGCGGCGGCTATGTGTAAGGGTAAGGATTGGGCATTTTTGAGACGAAGCCGAGGGCTTTTTGGGAAGAAGAAGCTCAAATTTTCGGTGAAGAGAAACTGAAGAGAGTGAAAAGGGTGAGAATTTCAGAACAAACACCAAGAAGAACAAGAAGATGAAGAAGATGATGAAGAAGAAGAATTGAATCGAGGTCCTTGTGTGAATTTGAAATTTTTGTTTATATTTTTATATATTTTATTAAATTCTGTGCGATTTTGAACCAATGGGCCAGTGAGGTTTATTTAAAATTTTTTATCCGGTAATACCCTCGGAGGGAGCATCAAATGAGGTTAGTTTGGTCATTTTGAAAAAACAATTTCAGAAATCGTTTTCTGATATAGAAAGTAACCCGTAATTCCCAAAGCAAGAGTCTTTGCCAATAAGCGCAGCTATGGTTTGCGAGTAGAAACTATTATAAAGTGTTGCTAACTACTGGTTAAGTCAGTTTTTTCACGTGATCTTTTATTAGGTGTTTCTCTTTTGATAATTTCATAGTTTGCGATTTTATCAAAATTTGTGAAAATTTATCAATAAAGAAATAAACACAACAATTGTTTATGTGTTTGTGATGTTATTCTTTAATAAAAACATAACATGTACATAATTATTTATTAGTTAAAATATTTTTATAATCTTTATACGTAACAGTCATTTTAAATCTTATATCAATTCATAATATTATAACAACAATGAATAATAAGGATGGATTTAAAAATGATTTTATATATAAGGATTAAATTAAAAAAAAATTATGGATAGAGATATATTTAAACTTTTTTCACACTTCAATTATAAAAACATTAAAAAAATAATACAACTTAAAAAATGATACATGTGATATTTTTGTTAATACTACGCAGATTTAAGTTAACAGTTAACTTTATACAAGTTCTGTCCTGTTCTTTTAGATTAATATACATGCAATGAGGAAGAAAAAAAAGGGTTCTGGCCAATAAAATAGACTTCGAGAACACTTGCTATCATTCAGAATTAGGACTTTTATGTTTCCGAAAACAAAGTAACTATCGTACCATGATTAATATTATTTAAGGAGAGTGGGTGAATGGGTTATGCCCAAGAAGCATTCTATATCTTCAGTGTGATTCTTAGGTGAAATAACTTGGAATCAACAGCATAAACCCTCCTGTTAGAGATGTCAAAGTTGGTTGGTCCTTCTAATCCACCAAAAATGACCCGGCCTGTCTTTTGGGTTGGCGGATAAGCCCTTTTAAAAAATAAAAAAATAAATCTTATTTTTCTAGTTTTATAATATTATCTAATTTAATTTCATATCCCACTAGAGTTAGGGAAGACCCTCCAACCTCTTTGAAGATTTTCGAGAGAAATTACATATCAACCACCAACAACGTCCTCACATAAATCAGCGGGTTTTGAACCCACACCCTTGTAGGATATGGACCAAACATGTAGCCAACTGAGCCCTCATTTGTTAGCCTAAATTGTCACCCTTTATATCATCCAAATAATTGACAATACCATTGAAAAACAACAACAAAAAAACCGGTTTGATTTCTAGTTCTAAAATTTATTTTTTGGTTTATAAAAAAAAACTTGTTTTTCAAAAGAAAAAAATTGTCCAAAGATAATTATTTTATAAAAATACTCTCACAACAATAATTATTTTTTAATTCTAAAACTAAGTTGGAGAAGAAATATTCTAAAAAAAATGGTTTTATTATTTTTAAATAACAATTTTATAATTATAAAAATATATTAATGACACTTTTATAAATAAACTTAATTTCTTTTCAATTTTAAATTACTTTACTATAATAATTTTATAATTATAAAAAATTATTAATTATATTTTTTAAATAAATAGAATTTTTTCATAACTTTAAATTCACTTATATTCAAGCACGATTAATTTTTCTCTAACTTTTAAAATTTATATTCAAAATATTTTTTTTTTTAAATTCAGACGTACACCTTATTCTTTTGTTTTGAAGGTCGTATTACTCTAGTCAAGTCCAAGATAGCAATAGTGTCAAACTCTACTATGCAAACCATCCCACTTGTCAATTAAGTCATTTTTGGTATAATGTATAAGCTCTAATAATATAAGTTTGTATTATATATTATGACATTTTAATTTTTTTGATGTTATTATCATATAGTATAAATTTATACAACAGAATTTCTTAATATATTAAAATGATCTATATTTAATCAATTCTTAATATATTAAAATGATGTATAGTTGTTATACAAAAAAAAATATATAAAAAAATATGATGTACAGTTAATCAGGTATGGGGAGATGGGATTAGTAGGAATTGATGTATCAGGGTAATACATTTTCATTTTATCTTCCCGTTGTAACCCTTCCGCCCCTTTTCTTTTTTTTTCTTCCTTTTCTTCCACAAACACATTTGCCTAATTTCCTTCTTCTCACTGCACTCGTGTCTCGCCATTCACCAGCCACCTTCATTCCGTTCAACTCAGTAACTCGCTCATTGACCCAATTACCCAAAACCCCATTACGTGCCAAAACGACGATGTTGATGTTGATGATGATGTGACAACGAACGAGTTCTTATCGCGATTCATGTGGATAATGCACAAGGAAGTGAGGAAAGCGTACCCTAATTATGATAAATCCACTATTGATGGCATGCTTCTCGTCATCATTGAAAGGGTTGTGTCTGAAATGTAAAAGGTAGCATCAGTTCAAATACATCGTCGTTTCCTTTGGGGGATTTTAGTGAGGACTTGTGGAGGACGATGTAGGAGGTGAGCAACAAGGTGTTGGAAAACATGAACAAGGAGAGGAAGAAGGAGAAAATGAAGGGTTTCTTGCAGTGTGAAGAAGTGAAAGAGATGTTGAGAACACGATTCGTTGGAATTTCAGGATTATGGCAAAAAAATTAAAATAATGCTTTTTAATTAAATAATTACGCATTTATTAAAGTTTTGAGAATAATTACACATTTATTGCACAATGTGACGCCCCTTTTGGGCATCACATGTGACGCTCCATTGAGGCGTCTCACCTTAAGGGAAGACGCCTCAATGGGACGTCACATGTGACGCCCAAAAGGGGCGTCTCATGTGTGCCCTATATATACCTCATTTTTACCGTTTCACTTCTCACTATTTCAGCTCTCTTTAACCACGGTTTACCATTTCACTTCTCTCTAACCACGGTTTGTGCTTCCGACCGAACGCAAAAATTTTCATAGCGAAGCTCTCCCAACTTAGGTAAATTCGTAATACTTGCTATGTATACGTTTAAATTACAGTGCTACCTTGCGAATATGTTAGGATTTATCGTATATTAGAGACTTAGAACATTAGGATAGTCACTTAAAAATTTTGTACCATGCTATGAATGTTGTAATGATATAGTACTTTTTTTGTTATGTAGTTATGATTATTAACACATATTTATGATGTTATTTTGTGATAGTGATTTAGAAAATAATGACAGTGACTTTGTAAATTTTGTATGATGTTATTAATGCGGGAGTGTATTGATAATTTTGTAGTCAGTTAGGTGTGATGATTAGTACATATTTATGAAGTTATTAGTGACTTAGGGTTAAGTATTATGTCAGTATGATTTAATTTGTGTCCGATGTTTTTTTATTATTTAATTACAAATAAATGACTCTACTACGTATTGATAATATTTCATTAATTTCAATTCTAGTAAAAACGTAGGGTTTATGCTTAATTTTTTTGATAATAAATTAGGGCATTGCATAATTAATTTGTACATAAAATGTGTTGTTACATGTGATTAATTTCATTGTTGTTTTATATTATATAGTTTAGGGTCATGGCTGATTCATCATCATCTTCGGGTTCTGCATCGGATGCAAAGCCTACAGATCCTAGCATGTACATCATATATGGGCCTTATAGATGGGACGTCCTTCGTAAGAGGACGCAGCGTGCCCATATTTCACAACGAGTGTGGAATATGGAGCATGTGAGAAGACTGAAGACCAGGCGTGGGAAACCACAGGGGGGCCACCTACCGGGGCTATTTCAGAGGTGGTCATAGACAACCTCACACAGGCTGGATTTATCCATGTTGCCCGGATGCGACATATCCAGGTATGCAATTTACGACGTTTTGTATTTATGTAATTATACAATACCATTCGTTAACACGTGATAATTGTATAATTTATTTCAGATCGATGCCCCATTAATTAATGCTCTGGTCGAGAGGTGGAGACCAGAGACATATACTTTCCACATTTGTAAGGTGAGATGACTATCACCTTACAGGATGTGGCCAGCATATTGGGATTGCCTACTGACGGTATTGTCGTTACCGGATCTACAAATGAGGATTGGTCGCTGTTTGTGCTGCTATTTTTGGCGCGGTTCCACAGGCCAATGAGTTCCATCATTCAGGTGACCTCCGCATCTCATTCTTAGATCGGTTATATACCCGATGGACTGATCATGTTGGGGATCATGATCGCGAGATATATTTCACAGAGGTGCACATTGCCCGCATGTTGAGGTGTTGGTTGCTGGCGGACAAGTCTGGAGGTAGCAATATCGGTTGTCGGCTAGTCCCGTTGCTTGGGGGAGGATTTGATGAGATTGGCCGTTTCAGCTGGGGATCTGCGGTTCTGGCACACTTGTTCAGGAGTTTGTGCGAGTGTACAGATGCCGGTCGATCTCACATGGGTGGTTGCCATATTCTTCTTCAGATTTGGGCATGGATACGATTCTCACCCATTGCTTCACCCCTTCCTCCTCATCTAGCTCCGGGAGTGCATTATGGATGCCGGTATGCTTTATTAAACTCATTCGATTTCGCTAATGAGTTATCATTTATACTAACTGTATAATTGCTTGAACCAAGATTGATCATGTATGTTTCTGATGACAGGTTTAATACAGTGGCAAAGTTTAAACCTCATGAGGTTGTCCATTATCGGGCAACCATGGATACACTATGTAGAGATGAGGTAAGATTGTGGATACTTAGAATGTTGTTATTTCATCATGCATGTTTTTTTTTTGTAACACCATATATTCTTTTTCACTTTGTGTGTAAGTGGTGTGGCAACCATATATCGATTATCAGTGGCCGGACGTGACTCCACACAAGCAGTACCTTTGGTTTGCTGTCACACCCCTTATTTACTTCCACACCATAGAGGCATGTCAACCGGATAG